TGCGACGGTTCTCGGTGAGCTCTTGGATGAGATTTCACCCAGTGTCTGTCTGGTGACGGTGGGAAAGAATTCGCCAATTTGCTTGTACGTGGGATGTTTGTGGCCAGAGGCATTCAGCTGCTGATGTTGCCTCCATTCTCGCCCAATTTGGCCTTCTACGAACGCTGCCACAAGGAGTATCAAAATGGGTTGAGAGCCATGCTGCTGGAGACCAATTCACCCGCTTGCTACTGGTGGAAGTTTCACAGCCTGGTCACCCACGCTTACAACAACTCCCCATTACCTGGCTCTTCTTCAGCTGCTGCTGCTGTCACCCCTAATGACTTGTATCTTTCCAAGGGTTCTACAACATTGCTACCCGGTGGAGCTGCTGATCGTCCTCTATCACCCGCTGCCGAGCACTTCATTGAGGCGTTTGAGGCTATTCCCCCCTCCGAGCTGGCCTCTAAGGTAAACAACAACGTAGCTCAAGTTGCTGCAGCTGTACGAGAATCTCTTGGGATAAGCTTGAAGCTGTATCAAGCCAACTGGGAACTTAGGCGAGCACTGCTCGCCGAGCAGCATCGCGCAGGTCATGGGCTCTCTCTTCGGTTGGTCGGCGTGTGGGCCCTATTGAGCTCGGTTCCTGGGTCTACGTTTGGCGGCCAGCCCACTACAAGATTGCCACTAATTGGATGGGTCCGGCCCGTGTTATGGCTGTACGTCCTGCTGACACCTATCTGGTTTATTGGTTGGGATCGAGAGATGATGGTGCCGATGGAAGATCGTCTACTGAGTCTGGTTACAACCTTATGCCTATTCGCCAGGCTACTGTACTCGCAGATCTCAACGATCGCTACAACAAGATCATCTTGAGAGCTGCTGCCGTGCAACGTGCACTTTCGGCCCGTCAGCAGATTGTACGTCAACCAGCACTACCTACTCCACAAGACATCTTTAATGCTGCTGCCCCCAACAGTCTATTGTATCAGGCTGTTAGCAGATAAAGACGATTGATGATGATATTGTATTATGTTCTGAACTCTGAGCTAGAGCTACCATTCGTATATCTCCTTTTGCACGTTAGCTATAGCTTGCTTTTCGTAGCTTCTTTTGTTATTGCTGCCCCGGGAGAATAGTAGCGCTCGACCTTCCTGCATCTGCATGAATCAGCAGTTTCATGATTCATGTGGTCTCGCCATTTCTATTGCTCTATGATTGGTCTAAACATCTCCATTGTGGCACGAGTGATTGCTGTTATCTCACTCAGTTCAGTTTATTCTGTTCTTTCTTGCCCTTGCTATTGGGCTCGTCACTCTCTCTCTGGCTCTATACTGTCGTCCTTGCGTCTGTCTTCACCTACTGCTGCCTGGTTGAAGACTACCTTCAGTATATCCTGCAACTACCCTATTATTGCTATATCTCTACTAGTTATTGGGTGTTGAGTCAGAGACGTCCATCGCAGTGTTACCAAGCACTGCTATTGTGGTATGACGGTAGCGCGCGCCCAGCTGATCGATATAGATTTATCACTCGAAGTGCAAGAAAAGATCATTTTTGAAAACATGGCATTTGTAAGGTCTCGGAAAGGGTACTGGGATGGTATCTACGAACCCTCGGAGGAAGTACTCAGCGCACTCGGCAGGGTAACTGCTGTTCAGAAAAAAGGTGAGGAATCTCAGGACGATGACGCGAAGATGATGCGTTATAGGTCATCACCACCATGGGTCTATAATGGATATATCGACTGAGGAGTTAGTTGATATCACAGATGAGTCAGTCCTGAGTGTGAAGGAGGGAGAAGGGCAGACGAAGAAGAGGCTACTACGAAGGATGGTAATTACTGATGCCTTTGAGTGGAAAGTACTTCTGCATTTTCCGGCTCCGATCACTTCCCCTAAGTGTTTATCGTCACATTTGAGACGACAGTAGGGGCACTGCATCGAGGAGAGGCCTGATGGGCATGCGCTAGCGTTATTATGCCTTGGTCTGTCAGCCCAACCCACCCTACGATGATGTCATCATGAGTGTAGCAGTAGAGGGATATTCAATAACAACAGGGGAGGATCCGGCTCCGGAGGTAGCTGAGGTGGCAGCTCGCAGATGAGATGATACCGCCCAGGTCGGGGAGGAGCCTATCTCGACTCTGGCCGGTCTGAGCGCGCAGAGCCCCTTCATCACGCTGAAGTCGAAGCTAGCAGGTGGGCAGGTCTGGGATCCTTCCCCGAATGTTTTAATTTCGAATATTCTCTAGTTTTTGTCAATTCTCGTAAAAGGGTATGAGGAGTAGGTTAGTGTATTGGATATTCTCAGATGAGAAGCAGATGATTTTGATGAGCGAAGGGAAAGACGAGTTGGAGAAGAAGACGAACCTCTTAGTTCGTGAGTATCTTCCAGGGCGACTTCAAGTTGACCTGATTTCTATCTTACCAGAGACCTCAGAAGATTTGTCCCTCAAGGTTGAAGCGGAGGCGCCAGTTCCTCAAGGAGGAAAGGATAAGAAGGCGGCAGCAACAGAGGGAGAAGTAAAGGAGGGGAAGAGTGATGTGGTGAGTGGTGCCTGTGGGTTGGGTAGTAGGGAAGAAATGATCTACGATAGAGAACTACATCGAACTGATGAGGATATGTCTGTTGATGTGTTCAGGAAATGGAAGTACTGTTCCCGAGGTTTACGGTGTTTTTGACGGGATCTACGAAGGGAAGGGAGAGAGAGGATTCTGAGGGAGAGAAGTTGGAATTTGGCGAGGGAGTGGTATGAGATGGAATGTGCGTGGTGCAGTTACATCCAGGAGGTGGTGGTTGGGGCGAAGCTGTCGGGTAAGTTGATACGTGGTAAACCGTACGTGAGTGAGGAGGAGAAGGAGAGATTAGCGGAGGAGAAGATTGCTATGGTAAACATGGACTTGTGCTGTTATTTGGTTGTTATGGTATTGTTGTTGTTGTAAGGAAAAGGAGATGAAGAAGGCTAAGAAGGGTAAGAAGAAAGGAGGAGCAGTGGTTGTGGAGGAGCCTCCTATGATCAAGGAGTAGTAGAAGGGATGGTATAACTGATGTGATGTGTTGTTGAGGTACTCTTGGGAGGTGAGTAATTTGGGAGGAGTAGCGATTGATGAGGTTATGGAGGAAGCACCTATGGGGGAGGAAGGGACACCACCGGCAATAACGATGACGGACCTTTGGGGGTAGGGTTGGTGTATGAATGGTGAAGATAGTTGACGGGTATAGGTATATTGAGGAATGGGTTGAGTCGACGGGGTCGGATCCAGAGAGCTGGGAGATCATCATGGTCAGGACTAAGCCGGTGGAGAAGCAGCAGCAGGTGACTGAGGTCATTGCTATTGAGATGGGTTGGCTTATGGTGGGATGTAGGATGATGATGATAAAGAGGAAGAGGAGAAGTGTGGTACATGTATAGCTAGGATAACCCTACCTGGAGTGAATACACTACGTCGATGTTGGTGGACAATTCCTGTTGAAGGTATTGGACATGGCAGAGAGGGATGAGGAGGATGTGATGGAGGCATTAGCTGTGTTATGCGATGGAGTTGCTGTAAGGAGGCTCCGCCCGATAAGCTCCGGAGTTCGCTTCAATCGAACATACATCAACTTTAGGATGTCCCCGGACACAACAGGTAGTGACAGAAGGAGCAGGGAGGATGCTGTGTTGTATTCCTCCCGTATGGTGGACAGGTTTGACATCAGGGTTTGGACTGAATGCCAGACTAGTTTTATGTCACAAAGTTCCAAAAATTCGCGAGGTCGGAATTGAATTCTAGAATTACACGTTGCCTCGGTTGCGTCTCTATGCGGGACTTTACCGCGTTGAGATAAGCGTAATGAGTTTGTTGATGTGTTTTGCATAGGAGTGGGATCGCTGAGCAGTGAGGATCTGCTGACTCAAATGGAGGGAGAGTTGGGTGGAGATCCCTCGCAGGAAGGGAGGGTGATAGAGTTCCTACGTAAATTGAAAGTGGGTGAAAAGTTCCCTATTTGGTTATAATTTCCCCACTTATTCAGTTGACGGATGAAATCGACGAGGATGACACGGACACTCGTCCCTCCGACGTTGAAGACGATGGCGAGGGGTCTGTGAGTAGCTCCAGAGGAAGCTTCTATTTAGTAACGCGTCACTGCGCCACGAAATGTCAATGCTGAGATATCAGGCCAGCAAGTCGACGTTTAAATTCTCCATCCAGCGGACCTTCGAGAAATCGGTGGATGATGGTGAGAAGGTCAATGAGTACGCCAAGGGACGACCGGTGGGTGCTATGGCCAGGGAGGATAGGAGAGGGGAGGCAGAAGAGTATACGGTAGTTTCGATGACAATATTACAGCTCACGCTACTGATGTTTGCATAGAGCTGTATAAAATGCAGTAGTGGTGACTTGGAATTGAATCCACAACCTGTCGGCAGTAGAGTATGCTTGTCCACCACTATGCAGCAATGACTGTAGAGTATGCTAGAGTATGGTAAACCACTAAGGTACTCGCTTATCTCGGCAATCTTGGTGTAAGTGGGGGAGGACTGATGACTTGTCGGTTTGGTCATGGGGTATCTGTGAGAAGCATGGATGAGCTGAAGAGGGACGTGAAGGAGCTACGAGGTCTAGGTGAAGATGACAACCCTCTTTGTGCTAAGTAGGAAGGAATCTTCCGGCTGCGTTAACGCTGTTCGTATATAGGTATGAGGATGCTCGGTGGAGGAGATGTGATTGGTGTGAACATGAAACACGGTTTTTTGGATATCACTGCTTAAGTGAGTTGAGGGGGGGATGGA